TACTATAGTACAATATTCCTGGATCCTGTGCTTCTAAGTTTTATGTTTTACCACGTGTGCCTTTGTGTATTTTATTACACAGCACAGAACGAAATGGTCCTCATAATAGCAAAATATTTTTCTTTTAGCTCGGTTTATTCTTACGAGCGTAATAACCGTTATGACATCTACCAATTCGCCATTGTTTGGTGGTATAATCTAGAATTTCATTTCTCATCAATAAAGGCTTGATTTTTTTCAGAAAGCCTTTAGGTTAATCCTCTAGTTGTTTTGGGGTTGTTTTTTTATTTAGTTTATAAAACTAATTAAATTCAATAGCTTATCTAATTTATTATTGTCCATATATACGGCCACACTAATCCGCAGTGAATATTTGCTTGGCCGCGACAATCACTGATAAGGATGACATTGATGCGGCTTAATGAGCTAGAAATATTAACTTTTTTCCTGCGACAAATTAAATTCTAAAACATTTTTTGTATATATTGGAAAAATAAATAAAGGCGTTTGACGTATTTGTAGGTAAAAATTATTTCCGATTTAGTGTAAATGGGTATTAAAATGACTAAAATGCAGCATTCTCTCCGAAGCAGTTATGTCTTATGTAAACAATGCACGCGCCATTCAGGCAATGATTCACATCGCGTGCTGTGACAGCAAGTGTTAAGGCAGTCATCTATGACAGAGATATTATACGAGACTCGTAATTCTCTGTGAAACAGATTGATATACGGCATGAAAACTTGTACAAATTCAGAGATGATAATGGCGCGTTCACTAAAGATTCAATGATATTTAAACGCCTACATGTGAGAAAACAGCAGATTTCCGAACAGATTTGTTTTAAGATTACACAGATTGTTCATTTGATCCTAATCGCGGAATAACACAAATCCGTGTGACGTTTTGACTTTTAAAGTTAAAGGTTGGGTTCACGGTACATAAATCACGTCTAAATTAGGCTTCGCTTACATTTTTATACGTACTTTGTGAACACAGTTCTTGATATAATTTCTTTCAACTCATCACTAAGAAACTTATTTTTACCTAATAATGGTTTGTCTTTACGTCTTTGCCACCGATTGACCTTGGAAAACCCATTTAGAATGGAACCCAATTCAGATCACAAATCATTTCGGGGCAACAGATACATGAAAGGTGGAGATTATGCAACTATCGTTTTATTTGATAAAAATGGGTATATAGCTGGATTACAAGCTGGGGTAAATATTGTTAAGATTTCTGTTTTAAAGAATTGAGCATTTGTATCCACATCAACATCCAAACTTTTACATATATGTCAAGATAAATATTGAACTGTCAGCTAGCAGAACTTGTCACTAGAGGATAACATCGGAAAAATAAGTATGCATGTTTCGACCGTGACACCCGTCACAAATTAGAAGCTATGTGAGAGAAACGCCGAAGCTTGATATCAGATCCATTTGGGGAAGATTATTCGTATTTTATTTTCAAATGTGTTTTTTCTCTATATCTATTTTAGGTTAAGACTAATGGATATCCTTTTAGCGCCGTAGTTCCGCTGTCCGGGCAAAATTTCCCTCATAGCACACTGTATGGCGTATGCCCGTCTTCACTAGCCCAGTTCGGAGCAAAACAGTAGGACGTTAAACCCCATTTCATTTCATTTCATTTCATTTCCTTTTAGCGCAATACAGCCTCCCTTTATTAAAGTGCACATAAGATGGGCTTGGGAACTTTTCGATACATCTAGCCAATGGTTACTATATCAACTTTACGGCAAGTTCACACCAATCTGATTGAAATTAATTCAGTTATCTTCACTCAAAGTCGTAAAAATAGATCTCCCGTAAAAACGACTTTGCCCTGTCCTAATAGCCGACGTATCTAAACGAGCGCCATCAAATTTGCTTTAGATATCATTGCCGTTCCTTGAGGGACGTATAACCGATTCGGCTTAGAGGCTGGGATCGAGACAACATGCAGTAGTCTTCCTAGAGGGACATGCACTTTAACCGCCTCGGCTTACAGACCGAGGGAGATTGTCACGTACACTTAAAAAGAAGAGCGTAACGCCATAAACTTCAATCAGTCAAGAGGTAATTGGATGTGGACAGTTTGCTTGATACGGCGTTTACTGGAAGTGGGCGTGACCTATCTATGTTTTTGTCTGCCCAAAGCAATCGCCATTGTTGTTCTATAAATTGAAAAACAAGTATGGCGGTTGTTTTGGGCGTTATATTTTTTTTTATTTAATTATTTCTGTAGTTTTGTAATTGGAGTTCAGCTTTAATGCACCATCATAGATGTAGATTCCTGTATGAAGATATATAAATATAGTTATAACCACACCGTGTTCCATAGTTAATTGAACGTGGAAGTTCTGATAAGATAGTGTCACACATGGACTAATTATGACTGTCATTGAAAACAAATAGTTCAATATTTGTAACAAAAGATACTAACGAAGATATTTCCAAAGTTCATACCTCGCACATTAGATCTTCATAACATTGTAAAACATTTGATCACAAAATAAATACCGTTTTAAGAGCAATGCATTATTATAAACACTTTAAAACAAGAGTAGAGACGATAAACCTGACTGCCAAACTCAAAGCTCTATTAATCTAATGGCTTGGGGCGGCTGCCTTCGCGCAATTGGGTATGGGTTTGTGTGAGTGTGTGGGTGGTGTTATCAGTAGCGGCGTCAAGGGGGGCAAGGGGGGGGCATTTGCCCCCTCATAATCTGGTCTGCCCTCTGTTTGCCCCCCCCCCCAATAATTGTGGAAAATAAAAAAAAATTACTTGTGATACGTTTCGGTAATCAATACCGTCTACGGTGATTAAATCCCACATCCCGACTCAGTCATAGACTTGCATGTATCAAGTGAATGCATATTCTCGCCGCTTTGAACCTATATACCCAAAAACTTTGAGGATCATAAAAAGCACTTCTCAAGTGATTCACGTGTTATTGTTTATAGTAGGTTTACAGCAGGATGGGCTTGGTAAGAAATCACTCAGACTCTACAACATGCAACTGAAGGGGGATGTGGGATTTAATCACTGTAGAAGGTATTGATTACCGAAACGTATCACAAGTTTTTTTGTTGTTTTTTTTTATTTTCCAAAATTATTGGGGGGGGGGGGCAAACAGAGGGCTGCCACTGCAATCGGTGCCTAAATACTGTCAGACAGCATTTCCGACAGTCTATTTTTCAAAATAAGGATTCCCTACTTTGGCGCTCGTGAGTGGGCTTCGTCGAGGTTCGGTCGTTTGACACTTTATCTCAACGATCAGTGCCTGAAATACTGAGGCTGCATTTCCGGCAGTCTGTTTTTCTAAAAATTTCTGGGGGAGGACCCGCTACCCGTAGTTGAAGCTCGTGCCTTTGCCCCGTAACCTTGCACTTTTGCCCCAGCTTTTCCCATCCAACCACCGGCGGCTGGCGCCGCCACTGGGGGCGGGGGGGGGGGGGTATGTGTGTACGTAGGCGGGGGGGGGGGGGCTAGTTTGCAAATAGTATTGTTTGAGCTGAGGGGCTGGCAAGGACTGTGTCTAGCCTTTGCAGCTGGAATTTAATTGTTATGCGGGCAAATTTTCCCTCGGGGCACATTGTATGGCGTATGGCCATTAGTCCGGTTGGTGCAGAAAAGTGGGACGTTAAATCCAATTTCATGTATTCATTTATGGTGGCTGATTTAGTACACGCAAAAAAATAAAATAATAATATCTCGAGCGCTCGAGATACTAAGTCAAGCGCTTGAGATACTAAGTCGAGCGCTCGAGATAATACAATCGAACACGTCTCAAACGATGTTTTAAGCTATGGAAGCGTATTTTGGTAACTACTTATTGAGATAATATCACAGTATATCGAACTAAAATATGTCAACATCATGAGTTATATTACAACAAATCGACTTAATAAAGTCGACTTGACGCATTAAATTCACTTCTTGCCGACAAAAACTATGTCGATATGTTTACATCATGTCAATAGTCGATTTGACTGTAAATCAAGATGTCATGTTTTATAGAAATAATGTCGCTTTTGTACTTAATATCATCACCACATTCTTTAATTGAGCGTAAATAACTACAGCTGCCATTCTATCTTTGATTGTCGTTTGATTAACAACAAAATGCTTCTTTCAGGTTACACTCTTTCAGTTTCGTTATTTCTTAGTTTCAGCCATGTTTACAAGACACCTGTAAAAGAAATACCGAGGAACTTTCTCGGCCACACGGTCCCTACAGCTTAACGAGCCAGCGCACTCGCTGAGCTACCACGACTCCCGGGTTTTTATGTATTTAAAGTAATTACATATTAAACAAATGCTTAGTATTGTAATTTTATTTCAGATATCTATTTATATGTTGGTAATTACACAACATCTTCAGGTTCAAGCAGTACGCGTCCGTTTATGCTGCTGATGCCTCTCTGGAACTCTTTAATCGGACATTACTTCAGGCTAGGGTATACTTATTAAGAAATACTCGGATTTTCACATAAGTCATTCAAAGTTGAAGCGCATCTAAAGACGATTGCGGCTGTATAGATCGGCAAACAATAGTCATTCAAATAGTAGATACAGAACGATATGGAAATTACTAAATGCTCATTATGATATCCGTGTCGCACTAGAGACTGTACGACTATGTACGTGCCATTGTCATTGATCCTGAAGGTGTTATTATGTTACGAACACATAGGAGCTTTGGATGGGCTGTATAAACGAACAAATGAATATCTTTATTCTGCAAGTTTATCATTAAATAATGCCCAAATTATACAGCTTAAAACATCGTTTGAGACGTGTTCGATTGTATTATCTCGAGCGCTCGACTTAACTATCTCAAGCGCTCGACTTAATATCTCAAGCGCTAGAGATATTATTATTTTTTTTTTTTCTTTCGTGTCCTAAATCAGCCACCGTATTCATTCATTTTTTTACAAGGGTTAAGAATTCGGTCTGAATCCAATATGCTAGTCGGAGATTGTCTCCCCTTCACAAAATCTCTTCGTCCTTGAACTTTTCTAAGATGGCTCTGTCACAGACCTTACGAGTTGTTGCTAGTAAAAAGTTATTTAACAATAATACTAGTTTGATTGCAAGACACTCGTGAGTATTAACAACAAATAGACTTGATGTTCATAACAGAATTTATAATTGCGATAGCCTATCTTTTCTTTCATTTGTGATACACGTGGGTGTCATTGTTACTCAAGTCAAAGACTTTAGTAAGACCCGACTCGGTTGGTAATTCTAATTCTTCTTCCCAGTGTGTATTTGTTATGCTTTTTTGTGAGAGACTTTTGCTGCTGTAGAAGAAACTTCAGTGTTGTGCACAAGAGATTGCACCAATCGGTCTACGTCTGTCTATGTCTATATTGTGGCAATAGAGGCTAAACAATGCAACTGCTGGTAGAGTGCTTGATATTGACCCATGAAGGACAAACTTAGTCCGCAGCGTGCATAAAATACCTAGTCCTTAGCGTGAATAAAATACCTGTTAGTTATAATTATGAAGTTCTAATTTAACAGTCTTGAAATAATCACTTTAATCATTAACCAATCGAATTATCATTTTAACTACACGTGATACAGGTTTCAGTTTTCTCAGAAAATATTGACAAATGAGGATTATGATATTTAGCTACCCTACCGGATCATGTCTCTCTATAGTCCTATTCAAAGAAATTTGAATTAAACACATTGGTGTTGACTCCACAATACTAAAACATTTTTAGGTAAAAGGATACTTTTAATTTTTAAACCTATATTTATCAAAAAATAAATACATTGTTAGGCACATTAATCTGGCTCAAATTCAGATTAAGGGGAGGGGGTGGGTGGGATGGTCTAGTCGTCTAGAGTTTCACGCTTCAAGCTGTAATTTAGTCTTATATAGCTGGCCTGTCACCTCTGGCTTGGGGTTGTGGTTTTGATCCCTGGTTTCAGCGTTAGTGACACGGAGAGAGGGGTACCTTCTCAACCTCGTGGGCTTACTCCGGTTACTCTAAAACTAAACACTCCAAATTAGATAACAAGTTTTTTGTTTTTATCCCTGTGTATTAGTATTTCAATATATATTTTACTCTAAATTCTTAGCAGGTCTTATAATTTATTTGAGTCACGTGCATATTGAATCATCCAACGTTGCCCCATCCACCCACATTCTATGATTATGTGAAATGAAGTAAGCAAGTATCGACCTTTTCTTGATACTGATGTTAGCTAACACTTGAGTTTGTTTCTTTCTGTAATCTAATGTGTAATTTAACACTTTACATAGCCTACATGTATGTTATGTTCACCTATATAGTATATAATATATGTTTGTTTACATGTAAGCTTATAAGCTTATCATTTATGTACTGTTATCTTGTTTTTGAGAAGATGATTTATATTATATAAGCAGTATCCCATGAATAAAATATTGTTTGAATAGGAGAAAAAAAAACAACCAGATAATAGCTCAATACCACCGAATACCCATCCTTGGTATCCCAAGTGGTGAGTGGTATTGTTCCATTCTACTTCTACTCCACTAACCTCTAGATTCATCCCGTCTTTATTAGACCAGTCGAAGCAGAACAGTAGGACGTAAAACTTCATTTCATTTCTCAGGGTCCATTCACTGGGTTTTCACGAATTCATATTATCTGCACTTGATTGTAGGTTGATTCTACAAACCAATCAAAAAAATATTGTTTACATTCACCACAATAATCTCAGTTGCAATAAAATGCCAGTTACTTCCCTTTGCCCACTCAATTGGTTGAAAAAAATTAGCACAAGTATCAACGGCATTTAATTTGACTGTGTCTCCCCATGTATGGACAGAGAGATTATCGGAGTAGAACGGAACAATACCATTGAGGATGCTGAATACCATCTCATATTCATCAAATACCAGTACAATTACTGCAGCAAATCTGCAATAATTTGCAGAAAGCAATGAATGAAGTTGAAATGAGAAAAAAAAGTTTTCTTTGTTAGATATTTTGGGCATTTATCATTTTATTAGTTTTGTAATCATTAAATATCACTAAATGATTCTTAAAATATAAGCTTACATATTATTACATTTAATAATAAGATGTACCATTCTCCCATGCAAGTCTCGCAATCCAGCATTCATGTGAACTGCAAGGGATGACGACTCTGCTGGGGAGAATGAAGATGACGAGTAGTCTGATTAGTCTGAGAAAGGAACTAGACACTTTAAAGGCAATAGACTGAATAGAATATGTTGCAATATACAATGATACACAGGAACCTTAATTAAATCACACCTTGTCAGATTTAGTTCCATTTTTATTCTGAGGGAGCTGTAAACAGCAGTACCAGGGCATCATTGTCTATCAATTTCTAACTGTACCTAATGGGTCTGATAATTATGTTTACAGATCAATATGGTCGAATGTAGAAATGGGCCCACCAGATGCTATTCTGGGAGTGACAGAAGCCTTCAAGAAAGATACCAACCCCAAAAAGATGAATTTGGGTGTTGGTGCCTACAGAGATGATCAGGGTAAACCATTTATATTACCAACAGTAAGAAAGGTATGTGTGTCAACTTTCATTAAGAGACAATATCAATTCCACCTCAATAATTAATTTGAGTAACTGGCAATCTTTGTGAAATTTTATGTAAATTTATGTATAGTTCAATGTATAGAGTAATATTTGATATATTTATTTTTTATAGGCTGAAAAAATTATTTTCGAATCCGGTCTAGACCATGAATATGCAACAATTATTGGTACTCCTGATTTTTGTAAGGCATCTGCCCTACTAGCTTTCGGAGATAATAGCAGTGCTGTACAGAATAATTTGGTAAATATTTAATTTGTTTCCATCTACTGCTAGTTTTTGATATTGTACTTGTAACCAATTTTATTCAAAATGCTAAAACTAACATGATGATTCATATGACATGAACACACAGACTCTTATAGACAGCACAGTTGATAAGCAATATAGTCGCCAGTCTTTTGTTGCTTTATATTGCAAGTTTGTTTTTGAAAATCAGAAAGACTTTCTGTGACAAATGGTTTTTCAAACACACACAGAGGGTGATATTCAGCCAAAGACATTTTGTGTTTGAAAGACTACAGTCGCTTTATATGTACTTGGTAATGGTATCAATTTTGACATAATCATAAAAGGGTAAACCCTGTCATTATAGTGATTGACAATATGCTGGGTTTTTTTATTATTGGTCAATCTAAAGTCAGAAATCTGTAAGATTATGTTCCAAAACAAAGGACTCAAAACTTTTTTTCTCTCCCTCTAGAATGCAACAGTTCAAGGTATCTCAGGAACTGGTTCTCTTAGAATTGGGGGCAGTTTCTTTGTAAGTAGATTTTTATTTCTATTGATGTTCCTTTTCTCTTTTATTGAAAATATAACATAAATGGCACTAGCTCACTAAGTTGGAGGTGAATGTTCCCTAAGATTTTCTAGTCTTCCTACGGTTAGGACTTTTTGTTATTCGAATAGCCGTAGCTATTAACCGGTTAGTAACCGTTAACCGTATGGTATCAATTTCAAACATAAAACATAACATGTCAGGAGGTGCAAGTCATTACTCGTGCGCACGCTATACTTGCCTAAAAGGCATTACATGTGCAAAAATTTCAGGAATTTTTTCAGACATGTACAATTCTTTAATGAAACTTTAAACTATCAAAGGCCGTAGTTAATTGTTTACCTAGTTAACTTGGTTCATTTGAAACATTTTTTAATTCAATATATATCTACGATAATATACAAAACAATACTCTGTTTACCTTCGTACGTGACAGATGGCGATAATATTACGTTTACACAATGTTGTTACTAAGAATAGAATAATGTAAATTGGAAGGCGTCTATTGATTGGACAATAAAGAAATAATTCCTCGCTTGCAAGTAGAATTTTTATGATTGGTTAATTTAACTAAAAACGAAAGTGGAATTCTTGCGAGAAATTACGAGATATGAAACGTGTTGAATGTCGTAACGAATCTAGTATAATGTCATTTTCTAGCCTTTATGATTATATTTTGAATGGTGGTTACGTTTTTAAGTTAATAATAAACAAGGTAGAATATAGTTAGAAATGCTGAGAAGTATTTAGATTGGATTAACAATAGCTAAAGTTAGAACAAGGTCCGTTGACTTTGCCGTACGACTACAACGAGTGCTATTAATAGTATTGTTTTTTTAGCAGTTGACATTGTAGGACGACTTACATTCTAAGATTTTCAAACATCAAATACAAAATGACGACGGGCAAGTTTTGTTATAAAGAGGAATATAATCATCCACAACTCTATGTAATGGGGGACATCTCCGAATAACTGTACCGTTGAATTCGAACCGTTTAACCGTCCAGTTCTAACCGTTTACGGCTATCCGACTAGTCGTAGGAGCACTTCTTGTTTCCCCTTGTTAGTGATGCAGGAAAGTGGGCTTCTAGTTGTTGGGTTGCATCGAAAAACTGAGGTCTCATATACACCATTAGCTGATCCTTAAGGATTCCATATCAGTTGGAAATTGAAATAAGAGTTAGTGGTGCCTCTGTAAGGGCCTAATTGTCCTAAGAACACAATGCATGTCTTCATTAAAGGACTATATTGGTGACAATCATTATTACATATTTGTCGGTGTATATGTTGTCACTCCAGTCAGTTATACAGAAGGATAATTTGTTTTTTTCCTTTTGCTTTCGTTGCGTCCGTTTCTTCAAACCTTCATTACGCATCTATCGTAGCAATGATCTCTGTGTTAAAATAATATTTGGAACGTGTTTAACCAGTTATAATGACTTGACACGAATATTGTCCTTTAACCCAGATGGTGCAGACGTTAAACCTCATTTCATTTCCATTATTAAATCATTGTGGCATATATCTTTAAAATAGAACACTTGTTGATATGGCTATGGATAAACTTAATGGGAATAGATTGTCATTCTAATATTATAATCATCTGTTATTTTCAGGCAAAATGGTATACAAAAGGTAAAGATTTCTATATCCCTTCACCATCTTGGGGTAACCACACTCCCATCTTTAAGTAAGTCTTAGCAAATCATTCATTCCTTTTGCTTCAAGGCCAATTAAATTCTTATTTCCATAAGAATACACATTGGGTCAGACACAGAGCTACTCCTTGTCCCATCATGTATTATTGCTAGTTGGCGATCAAAACAATAAAAATTTATGAGAGTCCTTATGGTCTAAAATATACGATTTTCTCTCTCCCCTTTTATTTATTGGAGTGTTATGAAATGAAATGAAATGGTGTTTAACGTCCTGCTGCTCTGCACCGAAATGGGCTAATGAAGACGGGCATACGCCATACAGTATGCTATGAGGGAAATTTTGCCCGGACAGCGGAACTACAGCCTTCTCTTATATCAAATTCCAATTGTCAAGGGATCTTTTACTAGTATGCCAATGTGTACATGTAGACAGCTTTTCTTGTCAGGCCCTCCGTCCTGCATCACTGACAAGTGGGAAACACGCCGGAAAATTGGGATCAACTTTCTCAGCCAATGCAGGGATCGAACACCCGACATCCAGACTAGCGAGCCAGCATCTTACCCACTTAGCCAACGTGATCCCCTGGAGTGTTATGCAAAGTGATGAAGATTTTCATCCTATTTTTCAGACATTCTGGATTAAATGTCAAATCATATAGATATTATGAACCTAGCACATGTGGATTTGATTTCAAAGGTGCTATAGAAGATATTTCTGTAAGTAACCATACATATTTTTACTTACAACAGGAGAAATGTTTATACATAAAAATATTAATTATTAAGAATACAAACTCTTTTAATATCAAATCATATTAGTCATTTATTTATTTCATACACCAACAAATTTCTTTTTCATTACAGAAAATCCCAGAAGGGGGTGTTGTTGTTTTACATGCATGTGCACATAATCCTACTGGTGTTGATCCAAAGGTAAACATAGACAAGACTAAATTCTTCTTATGAATATTTATTGAACTCGATAAATTCGTTTAAAAATCCTTTTGTTACTTGTTAACATTTCTATTACAGGGATGTGCCCAGGATTTTGGAGGGTGGCGTGGTCTTTTATGAAAATTCAACCCTTCTTGGTGTATTTTCAGAGCATCTGCTGCCTTTTGTATTTGCTTCTGTGCAAATCAAATTTCCATTTATGTATTCAAATTTTTACCAAATTCAAAAAGAACTGTTTCAAAGTCAAAAGCCTTTCGTTCTTATTAGTGATAAGTGAACAAGTAAAACAGTATGCTCGCCTTGCCGCCTAATTTATTTTTTTGTGGCAAGTGTAAATAAAAAGGGCTGTAGCCCAGCTGTCTCTAGGATTTAGTTTAGATTCGGTAGAATTAACGGTAGAATGAGTACATTAAAAATTGATTGTAAAACCGAAAGTACGACATCCAAACCTTTAACATTGGAGTACCATTAATTAGTCTGGGTGACCTATTTATGGCAAATATACAAATTTAAAGACCGTAGAATTGTAAAATGAATAGACCTACACAACTTCTAAAAATAAATAAACAAAATACCAATATTTCTTTCTTTAATCTAATTTGGGATGATTGCGTCTACTACGGCACACAAAAATAAATTATGCCGTGGCAGACATGGTTTGCGTCGGCGTTTACCATGGCTTTGCCGTTTGCTGTGGTAAATTTCGAGCGCTGAATTTATGTACAGAGAAGAACGAAGGTGTTTAAATACGACTGGGCGGCTTTGTTCGATTTTTTCTTTGTGCTGGGCGGCAAAAAATAGTGCTGCCCGGCGTGGGCACATCCCTGCTATTATAGTCTATTGTAATAATATAACTGTGTCCTATTGAAACGGAGCCCAAGTACCGGTAATGAAAAGGTTAATCGATTGTCATCTGACGTACTTGTAGTTATCTGGTATCCACTTGCATGAAATACCATGTTGATAATTATATTATATTGCATTAGTTACTACTATATTATGCCTCATGTACTGAACTCAAAATTTAATTAAAATTGTATTTCATTCAAGTGTAATTTTAGTTTGACATGAAGATTCAACTACCAGTATTTATGAATAGTCCTATTTTGGTCATTGTAATTGGCTAAATCATTTTTGCCCAAGTCAAAACACCTGATGGGGTGTGGTGGACAAGTTTACAGGAAACTAATTAGTATTTTTATATCTTGTCTTGTAGCCTGAACAGTGGAAGGAGATATGCCAAGTTATGAAAGACAAGAAACTTTTTCCATTTTTCGACATGGCGTATCAAGGTTTTGCAAGTGGTGATATTAATAAAGATGCTTTTGCTGTTCGTCATTTCCTTGAGCAAGGTCACCAAATAGCCTTATGTCAGTCCTATGCTAAAAATATGGGTCTTTATGGTATGTATCATAACAGATTGTATATAGTCAGACTGAAGCGGGAGAATTGGATGGCCTAATGCTACTGGGTGTGCTGTAGATCATAAGGTCTGTCATTGAGTCGGTTTTTTCCTGGTCCTCCCACCGATAAATACCCCTAAAACAAATTATTGAAATGAAATTGTACCTATTAGTCCTGATTGGTTGTTAATCTTTCTCTTTCTCTCGCTCTCTGAAATTTACATTTATCTGATTTTGGAAAGTAATAGGTACTGGTATTACCAATATATTGTAAGACTCTTTTCTATTAGGTGAACGAGCTGGTGCTTTTACTATTGTTTGTGGGTCAGCTGAAGAAAAAGAACGAGTAATGTCACAGATTAAGATCATTATTCGTCCTATGTATTCCAATCCTCCCATACATGGAGCCAGATTAGTTTCAAAAATTCTTAATACACCTGATCTCAGATCAGAATGGTAAGTCATATTGTGATGTGATACTAGATATGGACGCTTTCATTATGTAAATCGTTTTTGGTGATCTCTTTTGGGGTCTTGATAATATCTATATTTTACTTAGGAATCATAAGTCATACTTATATTTTACTACAGAATCATCTATTAAACATTTATTTTACTAAAAACTCGTAAAAAAAACAATACTAAAGAATTATAAAATAATGTATACTTTACTAATTATAAATAATCATCAATAAAACTTAAATCATCAATAAAATTTATATTTGACTAAAAATAATTACCATTAAAACTTGGACTTAAAAAATCAACCTTTTGTGTTACTATGTTTGCTTTATTATTATTTTAAAGGTTAAAAGATGTAAAGGGTATGGCTGATCGTATTATTAGTATGAGAACACAATTACAAGATAATTTAAAGAAAGAAGGTTCATCTCACAACTGGCAACATATCACTGATCAAATTGGCATGTTCTGTTTCACTGGACTTAAACCTGATCAGGTAAGATAGTACATTGGTAGTTATTTATATTTTAATTCTGATACTTTTCATAAGTTTCAATATAACATGAATTTGCTGTTCAATTATAATAAATATGCAACCCACATTAACAGACGCAATAAGAACTCACAGTTTTGATTATTAATCTGATTTAATTATATTCCTTAGAATTCGTAGTAAGTCTTACTATAACATTGGGTTGTGTTTCATATTCTGCCCTTTGAAATGTTACATTATCATTAACAAAGTATTATAGAACACCTTCATTATAACACTGTTTATCATAGCGGTATTTATATCATATTTAAATGTTTTCTTTCTGTATTTACAGGTTGAGCGATTAACAAAAGATTTTTCAATTTATTTAACTAAAGATGGAAGAATTTCTGTGGCTGGAATTGCTTCTAGTAATGTAGCATATTTGGCGCATGCCATTCACCAAGTTTCCAAATGAAAAGAAATGAGATGTATAATATAGTCAAATAATTTTATTATAATGTGGTCGTATATTGTTGTCGCCCCCGTCCGGCCTTAAGTTAATTTTAAATTTATACACAGTGTATGTGATGAAGAAGCCTATTGATTTTCAGCGATTTCCGATAATTACTGCCAGAGTTATGGCCCTTATCACGTCAAAAAAATCTTGTGGATGCTCTAGAGGCTAAAGTTAATATCCGATTGACTTTAAATTTATACACAGTGTTTAACGTCATGAGACGAAGACGCCTATTGATTTCCGATAATTACTGCCAGAGTTATGGCCCATAATCACTTTGAAAAATCTTGTGACGCTCTATAGGCTAAAGTTATCATCTGATTGACTTCAGATTAATACACAGAGTTTAAGGTCTTGAGACGAACAAGTCTATTGATTTTCAATTAATTTTGATAACTTGAACAGCTAAATCCATGATGTTAAATGTTTTTTTACTAAATGTTAGCATTGGGAAGAACTATGGGCGTATGTTTCGTTGCCTGGCAACCTATCTTTTCAGAAACCAGTTGTCAAAAATAATTCTATACCATAAACCTATAGTGTAGTAATAAGGCACCTGTCACAGAATTAAATTCAGACTTTGTCGTACAAACATTCTTCTGACTGTCACTTTGTCCAGCTCCCATATGTCTCAATTCATTATTTTCTGGCCAGATAACCTTGTTTGTAATATAGAAAAGTGCCATAATATTAAATTAAAGTTATCTTAAGTATAATGGTGAATATCTGATATGTATTTGTTTTTGTTATGTAGAAATCATAAATTATAGTAAATAGTTGTATTAACAATTTGAAATAATACTGGTGCAATTGGAACATTGGTGCGTTGTGATAATTAATTTTAAGATCAAGTGCTCAAATTATGTTTTGTTATTTAGTGAAATACTCCATTTGTTTTTAATGATTAACTGTATTATGTTATAAACAAAATATGTTAAATTTATGAAGTGGTCTACAAGATTGGATTTAAAAACTTAATTTGATATAATAAGGTTAGGGTATATAATTTAAACTTATACTTCCTGCTATTTGCTTACTACAAATTGAATACAATAATGTTGTTATAAATCTATTAATGCAAGCCATCAGTGATGTTTGTATAAATAAGACTTTATTTGTGTGATATGAAAATAGGATTTTATAATTGTGAAATAATTAAAGATAATATTTAGAAAGAGTCATTATTTTTCTTTTAACCCATCTGGGTTTTGTATATCAATTCACAGGCAATTTACATTTTCGACTTCTTAACTGATATTGGGAAATGAATTGAAAGCAGGTTAAAGTCCTACTTTTCTGCTCCACCTGGGTGAATGAAGTAGGCCATGCAATGTGCTGTGAGACAAATTTTGTCTGGACATCTGTGCTTTGGCATTCTCTTTTTTTCAAATTCCAACTTTCAAAGGTTGTGTTTAGTGTTCATGCCAATGTGAACATAGGACCTCGAATTTCCATACCACCCTAACGACTAGAAGAAGAAATTAATAGACAAAACACACCAATATGTATTTGAAATTATGCCAGTTTTGATTAGGGAGTAAGGGTTACAGAAATAAGATTCTCTAGTATAGAGGAACAGCAACTATAATACCAGAATTCAAAACACTGTTGGACTTGAAACTTAGAGCGACTCACCGATGAAGAATCAATGGGCGGATGCCGCTTCTCACCCATATACATAATTTATATGGCTAATATTTATTGTAATATAAAGAAGTAAGGCATTTTGATGGTTTTAGGCACGTACAGAAATTAACTACGAATTTAGGCGAAGTAATCTTTATTTTCGGCACATCAACCGATACAGACACGGGCGCAAATCATCTCTTTTTTTCAATCCAATATTCGCATCATGTAGGCCATGTTTGTATGTTGAATGTTGCCGCTGATTTGGGTGTATATGGATGATCAGAATATACTGTTTTACAGACCTCACAAACCATCCTACAAATGATCGACAGCAGTTGGTTTTTTGTCAGTAGCGCCCAATGTTTCGCAAAAAGTAATCGACAAAGAAAGTTAGATATATATGCATAATCTACATATCTTAATTTAAATGTTTTCATAATGGACTCATTGATGTTCATTTGGATATCCGGGCAAAAGTATCGCCCAGCTTTAAATATAGTTCTGCAAGGGCTAGAACAAATGTGTCTAAGAGGGTTTCAAACCGCAATAATGAGTTTTTTATTCATTATAAACGTATCGTAGCCAGTCCCTTGACAAGTTTACCAACCAGTTTAAAGATACATTATGGGAGATTTTTATAGAGAGTTGGCCATTCTTGCTATAACAGTTCAAAAGTAGACGATGAAAGAAGAATATATTGAAAATTTCAGTCAAATTACTTTATTCTGAACAAAGTTATCATAGTTGTAATATTTCACTAGAAATTGTAGTCAAATGTATCTTCACCTTGGCCGATCATTTGATTGACAGGCGTTAACTCCACCTACACGACAAAATAACCTGACGATCGTCGCCTTCATTTCGTCGACTTGTCGGGTCAATTATGTCGCCTTCGACTTATTCACAACCCGACGACATCGACCCACCAACACGACAAAGAGCTAAATCTGATTATTGCAAGTCTTTATTTAGACTTCAGATGTCATAGAAATTATAAATTAGATCTTTATTTACACAACAAGCACAAAATCAACTCTGTAGACCCACGGATGGCTTGGATTCGGCTTGGATTTAAACAGGATTTCATTGACTGATTAAATTTTTAAATGGCGTCGAAAGCGGAGAATAACCGTTACGTTGACTAAATGATAGAGTGTACGAAGCGAGGCCACTGTTTAGCGAGGCCGCATGTCAGTCAATTTGATTGAAAGTTCGATATATTTTGATATGAGAGTTTGGATGTCAGTATTATACGCTCTTTTGTCGCTTGCGTTTACAGAAAAATTATGGAAATTGAACATCGCATCACCCCAGTTGAATTACAGCCCCATTGGATCAGTTTCCTATTTGTCTACTTTGGGAGTTACGTAGGCCTACCAGTTACAGTACAAGAGTACACGCAGGCTAAAAAGAAGTCGGATATAATTATGCCTCATTGATTTGGTCCATTCCTTTCAAACTTTCGCTTCTTATCTATATATTAAAAGTCTTATTTTTAATTTGTAGTAAAAATAAATGTGATACGAATTGAATTGCAACCCCGTCTAAAACCGAATAGGCTAACGGTACCACAGCCATTGAAAACGTTACTTGATAATCGAGATTATGTAGGTGGAGTTAACGCCTGTCAATCAATCGATCGGCCATTCTCGGAGACGGTGAAGAGAGAGTTGACTCCTATTTCTAGTCAAAAATTACAATGGTGATAACTTTGTTCAGAATAAAGTAATTTGACTGAAATTTTCAATATATTCTTCTTTCATCATCTATTTTTGAACTGTTATAGCAAGAATGGCCAACTCTCTATTAAAATCTCCCATAATGTATCTTTAAACATACATTATGCAAGAGCTAAATCTGATTATTGCAAGTCTTTATTTAGGCTTCAGATGTCATAGAAATTATAAATTGGATCTTTATTTACACAACAAGCACAAACACAACTATGTAGACCCACGGATGGCTTGGATTTAAACAGGATTTCATTGAAAATGGCGTCTTAACCGCAGATTAACCGTTACCATGACGTCATACTCCCGGAAATTTTAGAATGGGAGCCCAAGAGGTTAGCCTAGTAAGTCTGCCGAGTATCTGGTGGTGGGTGTGGCTGTGAGGGCTGGGATTTTGGGCATGAATTCTTGGGCTAGATTAGCTCAAGTGTACCACATGAAAATGGTACAGCAGCGTAAACCTTACATCTTCAAGTATTACAAAAACATTTTGACCGACATTTCTAGTGGTGGGGTACCCCCGACAGAGTTATGTAATTGCCAGACCACAGCTAGGCTAGATTAGCTGAAATCTGTAGGCTACCACTTAAAACTGCTTTGGAGTTGTTCAGCACCACCACAGGAACCATGAATGATCACTGCCAGACAGTTTATGCGGTGGGTTACCGCACAACGAAAATACCACGCCCCCCCCCCCCCCCCCCCAACTAGGCTAGATTAGCTGAAGTCCGTACCACCTAAAAGTGCTTGGAAGTTGTTCAGCACCACCACAGAGATCCTGAATTACCACTGCCAGACAGACATTCTGTGTTTATTGCCAGAAATAATCGCACTACCCTTCAACCCAAAATGCTTTCTATAGATCCCATATTATGTAATATATGACTGGTGCAATACCCATGCTGTTAGTCTTAATTGCGAAGACATTTAAACAAAAGGATTTAATCAGGGTAGGGAGCAGGCCCGTAGCCAGCTTGCTATAGCTTCGGAGGGGCAGTGAAGTTTTTAGGGGCGGGGGGGGGGGGGGCACACCTGGCACAGTCTACAGTAGGTATTTTAGAGCTATGGTTGGCAATTTTTTTTCGGGGGGGGGGGGCAAAACATTTTTTCGGGGATTGCCCCCCCCCCCCCTTGCCCCCCTCTGGCTACGGGCCTGGTAGGGAGTCGACGTGAAACATATGTAAATCAGATGCGTGATATTTATCATTCGTGGATGTGTTGTCAGTGTGGGAAATACTGTTTTAAATGGATATATAAATACACGTATGTGCATCTCAAGAAGGCTTTGCTTCGGAACCGTTCTGTCGCCATTAAAAATCCAACATCTGTTTCACCGTAGTGATCTTGAAAAATAATCCCCGGATAATGACAGGCATTACAGATACCTGCCGTCGTATGAATCCTGAAAAATAATATTTCACCGTATCGCAACAGGTCAGTACTAAAGCTAACACTTAGTGTTGTAGGGGGTCAAATATTAAGTAAATAACCACACCAAGGGTTCAGTAAAACAGCAATTTATTACCTTATAATAAAAACCCTGAAATTATACAATTACAGTATAAATAACATAATCCAACATATAAAATCAATTCATTCATATTCATTAAAATAATATATTACATATTAACACTAAAATCTCTATTCTAACTACTACTTTTATATATACTTAGTCTATATAAATACTTTAAAGGGAAACTACCTCCTGTTAGCCCGTATGAAATATACAGACATAATCTAAATAATCTTACTAATAATAATAATGTTCTTACCCATGAAGGGGTTTTTAATAAAGTAACCAGAGTCTGGAAACAAGGTGAAGTACCTTATAGCTCTGTCTGTAATAAAATATGGGGTATTTGATATTAATTATATTATTAAAGCGAAATGCTTTAAATAGCGTTACTATTATTACTATTATAAACTGTATGCCTTGTATTTGCAGAATGTAATTAACAAAAACCAACATGTCCGCCAACTTTAACAAAGACAAATAAAATATATATAAACTTATAAAACTGATAAAACAAATAGCCACACATACCTTTAAACTGTAAACAATAAATCTGTAGATAATAATTCTTCCAATACCAAATACACACAATTGATACGAATAAATGAAACTATTGAAACTTTAAATACAAATAGGAAATACAAATCCAAGAAACCTTTGGGTCAAAGGTGAAAATTGAATCCCAGTGACCAGATGATGAACTCGAACTCACTGGTTAGAAGAGTGTACAGAACAGGATAGTTTAAAGATGCATTGATGTGTGACATATTACTTAAAATTACATTAGTATTGTGATCATATTAAAATACCCATAAACTAAATAAAATCACTCTACCACATACTCCCTCCCTTTGGGAAAATGTTGTCCCTAACATTTAAATCTAAACCATCAAACTAGTAAAACACATCCGGGAACAGACTCTTACACAAAGATGGTAATGAATTTAAAACAACTTGTAACCGATCAGGTGACAAACTCATGAAATCCGTTGGTAGAAGAGACTTCGCCAAATCCGCACGAAACTGTGGAGTAGAAGCTACTGGTTGTTGCTGCGACATGACGTAGTCGTTATACCGGGCTGGTTGTCTTCTCTCTCTTCCTGATCTTCTAGGAGTAGGATCTTCTGGCAAGTGTGATTCCTCCGATGTCTCTGAATCTGAGGCTGACGCATCAGGCCTGTCTGCATCATCTTGATGTGAATTATTAAGCTCAGATTCCACCACATCCTCTGTGACCTGTAACTCTGGTGGGCTAGCTTGGTGCAGGAAATCTGCACTTTCCACCAGATAAACAAGCTCCTCCTC